GTAGTGTAGCGGTTAGCGCTCTGCACTACAAACCCGGCGACCCGGGTTCGATTCCCGCTCACGGCCAACATCGGTGACGATTATCTGAACCGGTCCCGGGCCTCCCCTAGGTCGACTCAGCCTCAAATTAGTACCTGGTGCGATGTGTAAACATCGCCACTAGGGAGACAAAGGCGGCCGGGCGTGGTGTTGGCCACCCACCCCCTCGTGCGCCGTGCCGGCCTTCATAGGTGCTCGCTAACGGCACTTGCCCCTACAGTCTGTTAAGGCGATACGGGGAGTCTTTATCTTTGTCTTTGTTCATTGTCCCTTCGCCTGTGAGTGCATTTAGGGTCAGTGTCACCCAACCCTGTAGCCGTTACCTTGTTTAACACGGGCGGGGGGGAGGTCATACAAGAGTCGTGGGCGGGGCACGGCACGCGTGAACCAACTCTGACATAGCGGTGAACGCCACCACAGAACGAGAAATCGCGCGATCAGCCTCTGGCGATCACGCGTGTGCCGTTCTAGCTCCCAGCTCCTGTCTTTTTCTAAATCCTTTATATTAAGTTCACTTGCTTGCTTGCGCGCTTACGACCTTGCAAATCTTTCGGTCGTTTTTTAACCCACTTCCCGTGATCCAATCGAGCTGACATTTAGCACACAGACTCGTTGTGCGTGACAATTTATTTTCGTGAAAAAAATTCCAAACTTTTACACTTTTTAGGGAATTTTTTTATATTTAATTACCAATTGCTTAATGGTGGCAGGCAATCATCTGACCCATAGGTAGCAGCCATCTCAAGCCAGAGGACGAGAGGACTCTAGCCGCCACGCATGTAAAGGATTTATAATGAAAAACTTTTTACGGGTTAATTGTTTGCTTTCGGCACGGCTCGTGGGGGTCAGAGAGCCCGGTTCCTTTGGGTACGACGAATCGAGGCGACTGCCCCGGGCCCCGCGCTTTGGCGGGCGGGGAGGGGGGGGCGGAGGAGCGCACTGTGACTGACGTCACGGTGTCAGATGTAATATTCCCCGCTCAGTTTCAAGGGGTCGTGGGGACCCAAAGTGAGATTTGCCCGAGCCCCCACACCCCCCCCCCCGCCCCCCCGCCCCCACGGCCCTGCCTGGGGGTAAATGGAATGGGCCCCAATGTCCACTCACCGCTTCTCTTCGTCATCCGGCGCATCGAATTCTCCCGACCCCGGGGGGTCGCGGTGCAATTGCCCCGCCCTGGACACTCGATAGTAGCTACTGCCACCGGTTGCGGTCGCGTTTGGACATCGTCGTGGGTCGGACTGCGCGAGCATTGAAATTCGGCATCCCACGAGCAATTGGAGGGAGCATTGTGGTTAACCCTTTGGAGGGGGGTGGGGGGGCTGCGTGGTAAGCCACAGGGGAAGCAGAGCCCCAACACGACTTCTAATCGAGGCCGGGCAGAGGATGTTTGAATGAATCGGCAGCAGTTTTGTCGATGGTTTCCATTGTGACCCACATTTATGATTTAGACGCTAGAGTGGGAATAGCGGTGGTGGTGGTGGTAGTGTGGTGGTGATGATGATATTGTAATGATTATAAAGATGGTGATAATCGGGATGGTGGTGGCGATGTTGATGATCGTGGTGTCGATTGTGCTCGCCGAAATAAATTATTTGCCACATTCGCCATCGCTAAGAATAAGCGACAGGTCACATTTAAAGGCATGCGTAATACACGCGCAAATACGCACGCCAACTCTCTACGGTGCAATGGTCTCTTCGGTACGGGTGTTGCAATGTTCCGAGACACCAGCTGCGCGGGTGGGAAGGGAAGAAACGCGAGCAGAAATATAACACCGCACACGAAAGGTGTGCATCGCATCTGCCGGAAGTTTGCCGCGGTGTTCGATGAATGATTGTGAGCAGCAAAGCGAGCGGGTCGGTTTGACCCTCAACTAGCCTAGTTTGCTTGGCTAAAGAAAGGCAGCAGACGCTAATGGAGATGTCAAAAAAAACACAACTACCCCGTGCGTCATCTCATCGCCGCGCCACGGCGGACAGGACGATCGGTTAACCAGCGCGTGAAGGTGTCGCGCGTGCGTTAGTCGCAGTGAGCAAGCGCAGGGAGACTGCCAATAATGCAAAGGTGCATCGTCATCATCATCATCCTCAGGGTTACGAGTATGATTATTGCTATCACTCGAGAGCACAGAAGACGTAAAGCAACGCACAGCCCTTTCGGTCATTCCACTGACAGAATAATTGATCGTAATTCACAACACTGCTCAGTGCGCGTTGGTGAAGGTGGAGGAGCATAGAAGTACCGTACAACAAATTGATGTTTAACTGCCCTGCCCTCTATTGTCAACAGCGTGAGACCCCGCAGATGATGATGACGATGCACCCAACACGTGCCCAACACGTGCCCACCAATCCAGGCACTATCCAGGAATTAAAAGATTTTCGCTTCCGAGATCTGAAGAGATCAGGGCGCATTTCTGCGTGATCTGGTCAGAGGCTAATTCTTTTTTTGGGACGTTCACACAACGGGCTTAGAATACTCGGCCCACATCGCTGCTCCGACGAACACGAGCCGAGGACATCGAGAAAGCCATTTAGACGGTGGTGGTTCGCATTTTCCGAGTCGAGAACAACGGCGTTTTGGATCGCGAACAAAGGCTGTGAGAGAACGCCTCCATGGCATCACATACCTTCTGTGTGCACGATTGCCATCGCCATCACGAGCACCGTCAAAGACTAAATCATCCCCCGTATAGCCTTAGCAGACGGTTGGGGCGAGTGTTGTTAACGAGCAGCGCCTATGAAGGCCGGCACGGCACACGAGATGGTGGGTGGCCAGTACCACGCCCGGCCGCCTTTGTCTCCCTCGTGGCGACTTTTACGCATCGCACCAGGTACTACTTTGAGACTGAGTCGACCTAGGGGAGGCTCGGGACCGGTTCAGATAATCGTCACTGGTGTTGGCCGTGAGCGGGAGTCGAACTCGGGTCGCCGGGTTCGTAACGCAGCGCGCTAACCACTGCACCACCGCTCCCCACCACCACAAGCATCATTGTCATCATCATCGCCACTTCGAAACTAATGCTCATGAGTAAGTGATAACACAAACCATTTCATTATCATCAAAGTTGCCATGTTTCTGTAATCATGATTACAGGTCGTTCTTAACAGCACTTAAGGTGTAAGTGACATCATTAATATTTTTTGACGCGATCGTAAAGTCGATGTAATTATCACGGGCCGCTCGTAAAGCGGTCAGGATTAAGCGATGAATGCCAATAATCCGCCGTCACCAAAGTAGCCCCAACTGCAATGTTGAGTGCGTGCAGTTGATGAAGAAAGCGTGGAAGATAAGAATATTCAGCGTCGTTATTATCATCGTCGTCATCGTCGTCGTGTGGAAAGAGTTGTTTTGTGTCTTGGCGAGTGCGATCTGAAGAGGAAGACGGAATGATTTGATTCTAACTCCGCAACTTGACACGGCAGAGAGCTGTAACGAGTCTCGGTTATTCGGCAAATACGAATGTACGACAGTGGGCGTCACGACACCCGAAACCGTTGCGCCTTACCGAGCCCTCAAAACAATTCCGTAATACATATTCTTGGGTGCTTTCGGTAAAGTCACGCAGATAGGTTCTTGTTATTTTCTTTGAACCAATCTCCGTGACTTTACCAAAACACCCAAGAATATGAATGCCTGCAGTCACGGAAGCCTTAAGTCAAGATTTCATTCCGTGATAAATCTCTCCCCTCCCCCCCGCTGCCAACCCCTTTCATGTTCCTCGCTGTTCGCGTTACCAACCTTCGCCGTACGGGAGCCCCACATTGGCACACGTGAGCTGTCGGCTCTCTTTATGTAACACTACCAATAATTTATATTTCTATAGCGTGCGTATTGGCTCACTGGACGCATGGACCCCCTGCCCCATTCGAATATCCACCGGGAGTGAGGAATCCATTTCTCGCCAAGAAGTGCAAATTCTCGTCAAAGTGCGCACGGTAACGTCCATGTATGTATGCATGCGTGTGTTGGACTTCTTTCGCACCGTACGTAGCACCACCGCGCCAATAGGAGGTGCGGTCCTATTATTTTACGCACCTGGCATATGCGCGCAGACACTGCCCATAGCGCACCGTGCCAGCACAGCGCTATTCGAGTTTGCGGTAACATCCAAGGCACGCGTCGTTGGGTATAATGTCAAATTTAGCTCCGCTTATCGCAGCGAAATATGTAATGTCCCAACTCTGATGCCTGGGGGCCGTGTCGAGTTGCGTTGCTCTTACGAGGCCTCACCTTGAAGTTGGCGAACACGCAGGGAACGAGCGGACACGCGCGCGCACTCGCCCACCAAAGACAAAGCACCCGCCCGCCCGTATAGCCTTTGACAGACTGTTGGGGCAAGTGCTGTTAGCGCTTAGCGCCTGTGAAGGCCGGGGCGGCACACGAGGGGGTGGGTAGCCGACACCACGCCCGGCCGCCTTTGTCTCCCTCGTGGCGATGTTTACACATCGCACCAGATACTCATTTGAGGCTGAGTCGACCGAGGGGAGGCCCAGGACCGGTTCATTTATTCGCCACTGGTGTTGGCCGTGAGCGGAAATCGAACTCGGGTGGCGCGTTTTGTAGCGCGGTGCGCTAACCATTGCGCCACCGTTCACCCACCGTACAAAAGATCCCCCTATAGCCTTAACAGACCGTAGGGGCAAGTGCTGTTAGCGAGCACCTATGAAGGCCGGGACGGTACACGAGGGGGTGGGTGGCCAGCACCACGCCCGACCGCCTTTGTTTCCCCAGTGGCGATGTTTACACACCGCACCAGGTATTCATTTGAGGCTGAGTCGACCTAGGGGAGGCCCAGGACCGGTTCAGATAATCGTCACTGGTGTTGGCCGTGAGCGGGAATCGAACCCGGATCGCCAGCTTTATAGCGCAGCGCGCTAACCACTGCACTACCGCACACACACACAGACACACAGGCGCGCGCCTACACAGACACACCCCAAACACTCAACACTCAATACCTGATCGAAGTAAATGACCATGGTCCGGTTGCTCATCTCCGACGGCTCGTGGTTCGTGCTCCGGATGACCGAGAAGGCCACCTTGGCGTTGCCGGATCGAACCGAGATCCCGAACGAGGCTCCAGCCGCTCCGGCGTGCTCCACCGAGGGGCTCGAGTCGCACACGACCAGGCACTTGCCCTCCAGCACGATGGGCTCCGTCTCGTTCTGCCCGAGAACGGGCGCGACCCTGGCGAGGCTGAAGACGGCGGCGGCGAGCAGAGCCCACGGGGGCCGAGTCCGTGGCCGCAGGGACGCGCACCCGACGAGCAGCAGCAGAAGCCCCGCGCGGATCGCGCAACGATCGTGGCAGCCGTGCGCTGCCATGCTCACGACTCGACTCGCTCGCTCGCTCGCCTCGCCTCGCTCAGGGGGGCGAGGGATGCCGCGTATCGTGATGGGACGCGGCACCGGGCTAACGGCGGACCCACTCTGTGTCGGCGGCGACGTGAGCGAACGAACGAACGGAGGACTGTCAAGAAGGCGGCTATTGTCGTCGATAACGAGTTGCGGCTCGAGGAACGCGACACGCACGCGCGCGCGCACGTGCGTACACGCGCGGCGCGTATAAGCGTGGGGGGGGGGGTGGCGGAGAGGGGGGGGGTGTCGGGGATGAGTTTGAACGACAACAGAACCAGACGCGCGAGGAACAGACGAGCGCACGAACTGCGCCGTTCCCTTCTCGGCGTCGTCTCAGCGGTGCGCGCCGTCTCCGAGCGTCTGAGCCGAGTCGCCTCCCACTGCGCTCGCTGCGCGTGCCGCGCGCTCCGAGCGAGCGAGCGAGGAGGATGAGGAGGAGGAGGAGGGTGCCTGCGTATCGTGCGTGCGGCGCGCTGTCTTGGGGCTGCTCAATCGGACCCCCCCCCACACACACCCTCCCGGCCGAGTTCTAGCGCTCGGTGCGCGGTGCTGCGCGCTTGTCCATTCCAGCGCACCAACACCGACTCCAACGTTAACACCCCCTGTGTGGAGCCCTCTCACACCCTCGCCTCTCTTTCTCTCTCGCCTCTCCCTCTCCTCACTCTCTCGCTGCGCTCTCTCACTCGCCCCTCTCGCCCTTCTCGCTCTGAATTATTTATGAGAGACGGTTGAGAACAATGCCCTATTTAGAGACGTTCATGGAAGCTGTGCGGTTTCACCCCCCCTCCCAACCCCGCCCTTCGCCCTCACCCCCCCCTCCACACACGTACACCTCCTCCCCCGACACATTCGCTGTCCCATCCTCTTACAGTTGCGTCGTCGTGGGAGGTGTTGGGAAGTTTGTGTTGGGTGGGTTCGTGGTTTGCGGTTGGTTGGTCGCGTGAAAGTGCAAAATTTGCGGCCTTTTAAGTGGCCAATTAGCGTTATGGTTGCCGCTGACTCTTATCAGATGGAGTAGACGGGGGCTCGTGCGTGCGTGCGTTTTTAACTCGTGTGACGTTGCTAGCATCTTGGAATTGGTATTTGATGAGTATCTGCATCAACATTTTTTAGCAGGATATGTTCCCAGGTTTATGGAGCCGTGCAAATATTCTCAATGTTCCGGTATAACAGCGCATTAGCGGAATTGAGCATTACGTCTTTACATAACCTTACTTTGCACGATGTGAATTGCCTCGTAATGTATGACACAATCACGTGCGCATCATCAAATGAAAAAATATAGCGAAACAAATTAATCAGGTGGCAAGTTCATGTGTCCACGTGATGTATGTGCAGGCAAGGTGTTGACGCATTTGTCCTGTGCGCACACAAGGCAAAGATCCCCCTCGTTGCCTCAACAGACTGTCGGGGCAAGTGCTGTTAGCGAGCACCTACGAAGGCCGGCACGGCGCACGAGGGGGTGGGTGGCCAGCACCACGCCCGGAACCCGTTGTCCCCCGAGTGGCGATGTTTACACATCGCACCAGGCACTAATTTTGAAGCTGAGTCGACCTAAGAGAGGCCCAGGACCCGTTGGGTTAATCGTAACTTGCGTTGGCCTTGAGCGGGATTCGAACTCGGGCCGCCGGGTTCGTAGCGCACAACAACCGCCATTCGCCACTTAGTGGCGGTGACGTCACCACGACACTTGTGCCAGGCCATGTGCACCTTGAGGCCACGTGAAGTGTCGAACACCCGCTGGCAGGTCACGGGGCAGACCCAGCAGGTGCCACGGGTCGACTGTCTGAGATGACCGAGATGACTGGCTGATGCACCACCTGTGCCCCCTACTGTGCCAACTTGCTGTGCTTTAGCCACCCGGCGCTCCGCTCGTTGTTGTGAGCGTCGCTCCTCCGCCCTCCGTTGTTGTTGGGGGGCGACTGCCTCCAACTGCCCAGTAGCGTCCTTCACGAGCCTCCTCCACAGAGGCCGATCTTGACACCGCTGGTACCAGTAGCGCACGCGCACACACATTGACAGACGTGCGTCGCGTTATAGATGGTCGCATTGCAATCATTCGTTCAATCGGATCCAACGTCGGTGTCAAAAGGTATCTCGAGACAAATCTCAGACATCGCATCCAGTTTGTGGCGTGAAATAGCTGCGGCCGTACTCAGCTCCGTACTCCCTCTTCATGGCGTTGCCATCGTCAAGGCCACCAGCTGGGGTTTATGCGTCGCATCTCATGATCTTTATTTGTAGTGGAGGAATGCGCTGAGCTAGGGAAGTTATTTTTCACAGATGTCCAGTTACGGGCGCGTGAGAAAGTTTCCGAAAGCAAATAAGGCAGCAACAACAACAACAAAAATTGGAAGCAAGTCACTAAATATGAATAAACAATTAACGCAATTACTTATATAAGTCCGATTAATCAAGATTGGGCAAGGTGGCAAAATGAAAACAGTCCTAGACCACACCAAGATAACGCCACAAAGCAGTAGCCCCTCAATACAATTGCCACGTTAACATTGAACTATCCACAGGCAAGGATCTAAATTACAAATCACATTCGCAAACGCGACTGCATATCTTCCTTTGCGAGGCATCGCCCGTTGTGACCAAGAGAAAGTTCCATTCCGACCCGGCCGATGTTGATTTCTGCGCATTTACAATGCATAGCATTGAGGGTGGTTATAGCGTTGGCCTGGTTTCAGCGTATGTCACCGTGCAAATGTCGAAGGGGTGGTGTGTGTGGGGTTATTTTGTTGTTATCATCCGTGGAAAATGCGACGTGATCTCGCCATTACAGAGTGATCGCCCTTATTGCTGCGTCTTCTGTTTGGTTAATGGCAGATGGCTCTTATCTAATCGCATCATATGTGTCGGTGAATTGCCAGACTTCATAACGCGTGCGGGTTGCCGCTGTGAGCCCCCGTGACCTGAGACTGGTTCTCGGCCACAGCACCGTCACTAGCCCTTTGCCATAGACCAATTTTAAACAACTAGACACAATCCATAACAGAGGTGTTTTGGTTTAGATCGCGTAAATATATAAATGTGTCGTTAAAACGCCGCCACCACCGACACAGCCAACTAGTAAGGGTTGTCACGTAAACAGAACGTGGCTAATTCGTCACGAGTACAGCACTAGTGTATAGTGTAGTGTATGTTGTAGTGTATAGTGTAGTGTATAGTGTAGTATACTAGTACAGCACTAACCGGTGTGTTGGAGAGCCAAGCCACAACATTTACCATCTGAGGACGACCCTTACTAGTTGGCTGTGACACATTTATATATTTACGCGATATAACCCAAAACACCTTTATTATGGATGATATTGGTCGCGTTAGCCTACTGCCTGTTAAACTATACACAACGCGCTTTGGCGCTCTGTAAATATTAAATAAGATAAGATTATCTCTTCATCGTTCCTGCACCCCCCCCCCCCCACCCTCTCTGCACCAACCTGCGTGGTCAAGTTTGGTCAAGGAACGCACATGACGCGACACGGAGCGGGGAGGCCTTCATCCAGCAGTGGAGTGACGAGGCAGTTGGAGATTGATGTTGTCTAAATGTGGCTCTCGCACAACGGGGGAATGTAAAATAACACTACGTTTCTTTTTTTAAGACGTATTGCCCTGTAGTCGATATGACAATTCATGGGATTAAACCCAGATGTTAGATTACTTTGGATATCATTGATAACAATTCCGCTTAAAGACATTATATCATTTACTGCTAACACGCCATTGATGGGTTTCACCGTTGGCTTGTCCGATCAGCTGATTGTTACATCTGTCATTGTCATTCGTATTCATTCAAGTGTAGTAACATTTCCTGGAATTTTATTCCAAAAAATGTTTCAACTGAGCCATCTCGGCAATGTGCTTCTTGTGCGATTCGCTATTCATATGAAACATTTCACCACGACGACAAAGATCCCCCGTATAGCCTTAACATACTGGAGGGGCAAGTGCTGTTAGTGTAGAACCTATGAAGATTCTGGAACGGCACACGACGGGGATGGGTGGCCGGCACCACGCCCGACCGCCTTTGTCTCCCCAGTGGCGATGATGTTTACACACCACAACCAAGTACTCATTTGAGGCTGAGTTGACCTAGGAGAGGCCCAGGACCGGTTCAGATAATCGTCACAGGCGTTGGCCGTGAGCGGGAATCGAACTCGGGTGGCCCGGTTCGTAGCGCCGCGTAGCGCTAACCGCTGCACCACCGCTCCCCACGACACACAACACGCACACAGATACTGTAGCTCGCCCTTCTTTCCTAAGTCCTCTGCCCAGTGGCAGGTCTTTAGCTCAGACTTTACCATCCTGTCCTATCTCGAGCTTCCGCCTTCATTTCTCCGTCTTCATTTCGCTGTCCTGTTTTCCTTGCGTCTTTCCCAACATCCCCGAACCTGCCCGAACTTCTCTCTATCCCAGCTCGGACTCGGACGATGCATCTGCTTCGCGTCTTGTTCCAACTGAGACTTCTTCCCTCCACCCTAAACCCGTCGTCCCTGTCTCTCTCTCTCTCTCTCCGTCCAACGGGAGCTCTGCACCGCAAAACTCGACCGTGAACGCAGCAGACGCGAAATAACAAAGCGCGCGCGTGTGGCGCTGTGCCCTTGCTAACGACTCGGCCCTGAGGATCGATACGGATGGAATAGATATCTGCGCTTGAGTTGAGCTTGTGACTGACACTGATCCACGCAACTCTTCTGATACCGTCGCCGGTGCATGGCGCTTTTTTGTTTGTTTGTTTAAATCGCATTTGCATGGCACGCACATTTTTTTAATCCTTTATATTAAGTTCACTTGCTTGCTTGCTTGCGCGCTTACGACCGTGCAAATCTTTCGGTCGTTTTTTAACCCACTTCCCGTGATCCAATCGAGCTGACATTTTCCACACAGACTCGTTGTGCGTGATAATTAATGTTCGTGAAAAATGTTTTCCAAAATGTTACACTTTTTAGGACAAAAATATTATATTGAATTACCAATGGCTTAATGCTGCCATGCAATCATCTGACCCATAGGTGGCAGCCATCTCAAGCCAGAGGACGAGAGGAGTCTAGCCGCCCGTTTCAAAGACCAATGTGGGCTGGGTTGTGACCCATTGAACACGCATATAAAGGATTTATAGTGAAAAACTTTGTTTTTACGGGTAAAATTTTTCTTTGTTTGTTTAAATCGCATTTGCATGGCACGCACATTTTTTTTCATTTCGTGTGTGTTAGGTCAGTTCTTACGGCGATTTAACGATGAGCAAATCTGACGCTTCAACGCGCGTTCGTGGCCACCAAGGCTTCGCTGGCAAATATCGAGTTTGGTGCGTTGGAATTAAGTCGTTAATTAATAAGGGAACCGTAATCGAATTGATTTAATTGACACAGCGGTGTTAGTGAGCGTCGCTGCTGTTAGTGAGCATTTTCACACTTAAATTCTAACTTAGCAATCTTTGAAATACGTAATCGACCAGGCTATGCGTTAATTGTTTGTTGACCGACTCTCTGTGTCGTTTTACATAACATTTCGATACTTTGCTAGGTTATTTAATTTATTGTGTTCTTTCTCCCTCTAAGCCTGCGTATTTTACTACGCGTCTCTTCGTACTCATTGACATGTAAAGTTTTTCTCTAACCCCTCCCTCTCTCTGCCTCCGCCCCCCTCTGTCTATTTAAGGCCACCCCACAGAGACGATCACCCCTCTCTGTAC